CTGCAGCAACATGAGTAGGAGGAGGATTGGAAGAGAGGAGGCCTACGGGAGCCATGTAAGGCTTCTGAGCTGAACAGAGCTCCAGTTGCTGTATTTGGATTGGGATGTAGGGAGAAAATGTCAGGAGTGAGAGACCAGCCTGGAGACCATTGCAGCCCTTCCCAGTGAGAGGGGATGGGGACTTGACCCTGGGGCTCAGAGTAGAGGTGGCAAGAAGGGCTAGGAGTCTTGGGTGAAGCTTTGAGGGAGGACCGAAGGGATTTCCTGATGCAATGAAAGTGACACAGGAAAGGGAGAAAGGAGTCTAAATTGACTCCAAAGTTTTTAGCCCAAATGAGGCAGGTGGAGTGACTGTGACCTTCAATAGGAAAGCCAAAAGAGGAGCAGAATGGGGGAGAGATCAAGAGTTCAAGTTTGGACATGCACCTTCACACCAAATCAGACATTTCCTTAGTGCTCTGCAAAGGAGACTATGGCTTCCAGGTGCCTTAGGGCCCGAGCAAGTTGAGAAAGACGGGAACAAACCAGAGTGGAGGATCCCCGGCACCATTCACTGAGCCCTTGCCCTGAGCCAGGCCCTGCACTGAGAGCATTCCAATGATTAGCTCCTCGCTGCTTAGCATAGCACAACCTCATAGGTATGATGACATGTCCAGATTTATAGGGTGAACACCCAGCCTTTGAGAGATGAAGTCCCTGGCCCAAGACCATCTCAATGGCAAGTGGCAGAGCCAAAGGTTGAATCCAGCTCTTTCTGTCTCAGGTGCCACATTATACCTCTATTACTGGTTAACCCAGCAAAAGCCAGGGGAAGGTTCAGTGAAGTGTTGGACTTAAGCTCTATCTTGAAAAACAGATTTTGTAAGAAAGGAGCAAGGGAGTGCATGCTAGATCAAGTCCTAACTTCTTGTCACTTACTGCAAGGCCCTGTATGGCCAGGTCCCTTCTGTCCTCTGCAGTCTTCCCTTGAACTAATTGTTCATTATGCTCCATTGATCATGGCACGTCAACCTTTTTCTATTCAGGCCTTTTACCCATATGGTTCCCTCTGCTGGAATTCTCCTCATCCCCTCTCTTCTTTTCTGGATGACTTGTACACGTCTCTGGGAGCTCAGCTCAAATGTCACTTCCTTGAGGAAGTCTTCCCTCACTCTCCCCCTTCTCCATCTAGAACTAGTCTCCTTGAACTGCACGAGTTCTTGATAGCTCTCAAGACAATCCTTTAATTAAGTGTTCAGTGATGTGTTCAATATCCACCTCTTCCACCAGATTAGTGACATCTAATAAAACTTGGGAAATTATTGCAACTATGGAAGTGCTCTAGACTTATGCTACCCAATATGACAACCTACTGGGCATTTGAAATGTGCATTTGCTTTTTGTTTGTTTTTATGATGCTGGGGATTGAACCTAGGGCCCTGTACATGCTAGACAAATGCTGTTCCACTGAGCTACATACCCAGCCCAGCATTTGCAATGACTCAAGTGTTGATTTTTAAATGTTTGCATATTTATATTATATATCATACTTTATAAATTACTTCATATGCAAAGTAGATAATTTAAGTTTGAATCTAAATAGCCACATATAGCTAATGGCTACCAAATTGGACAATGGAGCTCCTTACTGTGAGCTTCTCAAAGGCAAGGACTACCCTGTCTTATTTGGTTGTAGAATCCATCGTACAACTGGCACCCAATTAAACCATCAAATTAGTGAATGAATCAGTTAATGTGTCAATCCATCAATGTGGTCGGGAAAACTTACTTTTAAGAAATCATTCCATGGGCTGTACATGGGGATATTGCTCATATGTTAGGCAAGTGCTTGCCTAAAATATGTGAGGCCCTGGGTTCAATCTCCAGCCTTGGATAAAAAGAAATTATTCTAGAAGAGACTTAAAGAAAAAGTTTGACTTGTACAAGGACACACAATAAGGCAGAAGTGAATGTAAAATGTCAGCTGCTTGAATTCCCTATTTATGACACTCTCCCTAGGCGAACAGCAGGTGAAAGGCGGGGGGTGGGGGGGGGGGTGGGGGGTTGTGATTTCAAATGAACCATCCCAGAGCTGTCTGAAGGAATCCCCAACTGCAAGAAAGGTCTGTTTGTTTAGGCACTCCTTCCCTCCCCCGCCCCTTGACCCTGTAAACTACTTAGTGGCTTATCATCTATTAACATTTGGCCTCCCAGGGGACTAAGTCTGTTCCAAAGTTTACTCTTGCCAACCTCTCCAAGGTGCTCAGGGCTTTTGAAAAACCATATTGCTCCCAGGAAATCTGTTGCCTGAAATCTGTGCTTAACATATGCAGGGTGTGGTTTAAAAAAATCTCAGTCGTGATTTGTAACCCACTCCAATTCACATGGCTCTTTCCTTTAGCTTACTGATTTTTTTTTTTTTTTTAGCTTACTGATTTTTATAAATTGAGGTCAATGCATTTCAGGGCTAATGTTCACTTCATTCAAATGCAGTTTAGGGTTTTCAAATAACAATTTTTGGGAGTCCAGCAATAATGAACCCACACACTTTGTTTTTCTAAATTATTTTAAATGTAATCATAATATAAGAGCTAATATATGTTATTTTTAGCACACATGATCTCACTCGATCTTCACAATAACCCTATGATTCAAGTACTATTATGATACCATTTCTGGGAGGGATGCTGGGGATTGAACCTAGGGTCTTGTACATGCTTTAACCCTGAGCCACACCTTTACTCTATGATATCAATTGTATAGCTGCCAAACCTGTGCCTCAGAAAGGTTAACTTATTGGCTTAAAGTAACACAGGCGGCAGGATTTGAACCCAAGTATGTCTAACTCAGAGCAAATGTTGTCAAACAGTACACACTTTAACCTCTAACTGATATTATATCTACTTATGTCTACAAAACTTCAGAAAGAATAATTAAGAAACAACTCTGGGGTAATAAGACTGGAATTTGGGGAGAGAGAGACTTACTCTTCATTCTTGTGCTTTTCTCTGAACTTCATTTACTATGTTAATTTTATTATAATGTATTTATATTAAAATTTAAATTAATTTTTTGTGGTCCTGGGAATTGAATGTAGAGCCTTCACAGCGGGCTGCATCCCTATCCTTTTTTATTTTCTAAATTTTTGCGATGGGGTCTTGCTAAGTTGCTACGTAGCTCAGGCTAGGTTCTTGATCCTCCTACCTCAGCCTCCCTGAATGTTGGAATTACAGGTGTGTGCCACCATACTTGGCTCTAAGTTATTTTTTTTTTTTCTGTTAGTCCTGGGGATTGAACCCAAGGCCTCATGCCTACTAGGTGAGCACTTTCCCACTGAGCTACATCCCCCAGCTAAAAGCTGAATTAATTTTTAATTAATTTTTTGTGTGCTCTACCACTGAGTTAGCCCCTTATTTTTACTCTTTTTTAATTAAGGAAAGAATTGATTTAATAATAGGATGTCTACATGTTAGATTAAGTATACATAAGTCTTGTACAAAACTCATATGCTGTGACATTGTTTGAAAATTTATATCACTAAAGCTAAAGTTCCAATGTATACAGTATTCTTATTCTCAGCACCAAATTTTATAATTCAACTTTTGAATTATTTTTATTTTGGATAACAGTTTGATTTTTTTTTTTTTTTTTTTTGTCCCGGGGATCAAACTCAGGACCTTGCGCTTGTGAGGCAGGTGGTGGAACTACTGAACTAAATCCCCAGCCCCAACAGTTTGATTTTTGAACATACTTATTTCCAATGAAAGTGGTATGTTTTCCTTGAGAGATTTGCACTCAGACATTTACATTTTTATATACTTATACATCGACCTCTCGTTGTTATAACTAGGCATCCTTCAGCATTTGTGAAATAATACTATATTAATAAGTCATGCTATTTGCGGCTCAATTAACAAAATTAAAACCTAAATTAAATAATTAAATGCATTTAAAAAATTAATTTATACTGATTGAGAAGTAAGCGTTACAATCTCCTTCTGTACTCAGAACCTCAGAGAGCTGTATCAGTCACACTAAAAGTCACTTGGGAGAATTGTTTAGGAGCTCAAAGAACAAAATACACCATTTTTAAAGTCAAGAAAATACACACATGTTACACATTCGTGTTAATAATGTATCCTTTCCAACAAGCCCAAATAGAATCTACTTTATCATCCAAATGGCTAGTGATTCTAAAAAAATGAAAGCAAAACCCACCAGAAATGTGCTTTTTTAAATGTCCCCTCTAAATCTCTTGGAATTCGCTTAACAAATCACCATCTGCTTGTGGTTGAAAAAATCTGTAAGCCCCTCTACAAGGCCCCTGTTCGTTCCCTTGCCTGGCTGTATTTTCCCAGGATTCTTGAAGCTAATCTGGTATTCCTGAAAAATTCTCGTCCTCAAAGGAGCATATTCCTGCTGTGCCCAACAGGGAGTCTCACTCTAGATGGATGTTAGAAAACCCTTTCATTCAGAAGAAGGCAAGAGGTTTCAGGGACGGCGCACAAGCCTCTCTCTCACACACTCCATCTACAACAGGACTTTGCCCAAGCCTCTTCTCCAGGAAGGAATCTCAGCTTTTTAGAAACCAGTGTGCAATCATTCATTTCCAAAAGACCTTGCAGATAAATCAGGAATTTCACAGCACAGGAGGAGAAGGGCTGGGAAGGACCTAGGTTTCCGCACAGACTCATCAATTCAGTCCACATTTCCAAACAGCAACTAATGCTTTCTCCAAACATAGACCTCACAATTCCCTCGAGGATGGAGAGCAATTAAAAGGGAAAATATGATACCCGTGACTCCGGTAGGATCCTGGCCGATTTGAAAGATGGAACTGAGTCAGAGATACAGACGCTGGGCTGCTGGGGTAGGAAAATGGCTTATCTCCTCCAGGCCTAATTCCTTCCTTCGAAACAGTTTGCTTTAAATTCAGGAAGCCATGCAGAGAGGCACTCCCTGCAGCTTTGCGTGTCTTAAAAGAAAGCCTGTCTGCCTCTCACTCGCCCCATGGTACTCACGGCAGCTGCCTGAGCTGGAATAAGTCCTCCTCCATGTCCGCGCTGCGCCAGGACGAGCCCTTTTCATGGCCTTACATGGTAGTGGTGGATGACGAGGGTTCGGAGTTTCAGCACCGGGGCTCCGGACAGCTCCCGCACCTGGTCCTCCCTCGGGCGGCAGCTGTTCAGGGGAGGGAGCCGCCAGGGAGCAGCCCACGAGACAAAGCCGCCGCCTGGAGACCGCGGCGAGAGTGGGCGGAGAGGAGGCGGCGGGGGGCCGAGCAAGCTGAGCGGGAGAGGGGGCAGGGAGAGCCCTTCTGCTCGGAAGAATTCGCAGCCGCTCCGCGTGTGGCTGGTGGTCCTTGCCAGGTGCCCACAGGGACACGTCAGCCTGTGAAATGGCTGTCGAGGTAGCAATGCGTCCTCTTTGCCAGATGATTCCTGTCCGTCTCTGAGTGTTTATTTGTAGGGATTCCCTAATGTTGTCAGTATAATATTTTTGAAGCCTAAGTTGCTATAACAAATGCAGAGTGTGAATTTTTTATATATATATGGCATTAAAGTACTGTTTATTGAGCACCTGCTGCGTGCCAGGCACTGCATTAGGCACTTGGACATATTGTCACTCTGGGACTGAAGGTCTAGTGAAAGGAATCTAGAAAGATGTATGTTAAGTATGAGAAGGCCAAAGGTAACTCATTCATTCACTCCACAAGCATCATGGAGTGATTTCTAGAATCCTGACTGAGAAATCCAAGACATTCGAATAAGGCAAAATCCTGGCTTCCAGTCCCTCCTTTTGCTCAATGGTCCCCCCGCCCACTAGAATTTCTGTGCTCAATAAATATTTGTCGAATGGCTCTCAATTCAGGTGGCAGCTAGGAATCACTCGGCTCCATTGAAGACCAGTTGAGCCCAACTTCCTGGAGCTTCCCAACAGCCCCAGATGAAAACCTCTGGTTTAATGTGAATAAATGAAGAGAAGAGAAATTATACAACAGGAAACTACAACAGTGACCTGTGACAGCAGCTGGCAGGAAATGTGAGAATGATGACTGAATGGAGACTCACATAGAAATAAAGAAAGAGAAGATTCTTTTTTTCTTTAGTGTTGACAAAGGATGGAGGAGATTGGGCAAGGGCACGGGAAAGCCAGTCCAGAGAGACAGATCTTTCTTTAGCAGATGGGAAAAGGACCAAGAGGTGAAGGGAGGGGAGAGGATGCAAGAGAATTACCATGTGTTGTTACATGCAGCAACTCCCCATGAATGCAATCATTATGTACTGCAAAGATGTAAATAACAATAAAAATTTAAAAAAAGAAAGCCAATCCAGAGACTGGAAACAATCAACCACACATCACAATCTCATACCAGATCCACAACAATAATAATAATATCTTGAAAATCCAGACTTGAGTGTACCAAGAACTCAGGTATAGGCATCACCCTCATTGTTCCAACTGATGCAATAGTCCTATGAAGCAGGTATGATTTTCATTCCATTTTAAAGATAAGGAAACAAGTTGGGGCTGGGGATTTAGTTCAGTGGTTCCGGCGCTTGCCTCACAAGCACAAGGTCCCAAGTTCAATCCCCAGTACAAAAAAAAGATAAGGAAACAAACAAGTCTCAGAGTTGGACAAATAACTTGCACAAGGGCTCTCAGACAGATCTGAAATTGAAACCCAGTCATTGTAGCACTTATCTAGCATCCCCAAGACCTTGGGTACAGGAAAGAGAAGGGAGAGGAAGAAAAGAGAAGAAACAAAAACAAACAAAGCAAACCAAAGCAAAGCAAAGCAAAACAAAACAAAAATAACCCAGTCAATCTGTCTCTAGAGCCTGCATCTCTTTTTTGAGAGTCTCAGAAGAAATCAACTTTTGCAGATATAATAGGAGAAATCTGAATTACTGAACACTGGATAACTTGAAATAAATTGGATGTTGAGACAATTATGGAATGGTACTAAAAGCCCAATTTATTATTCATCCGGCAAATATTAATTGAACTATATCCAGAGTTTGTATCGACTTATCCATGGCTACTTCTGATCTTATACTTAAGTGTCAGTCACAGCTTGCCTCCCCTATATCCCTCTCCTCTGATCTGTACTACATTTGGTATCATATGACTTGTGGCAACAGCTCATTGGTTTGGGAGGTGGACACCAACCTAAACATTTGTCCATGGCTATTTTTGCACAGCTGAGAAAGGAGGATGGGCAATTTGGTACCCTTGCCATGATAGACTCAAATGTGTCTGAGTAACCATGTGACCCAGAAACTCCACTCCTGTATTCCCCAAAGAATTGGAGGCAAAGATTCAAGTAGATAATTGTACGCTAATGTTTATAGCAACTTTATCTAGAACAGCCAAAAGGTGGGAACAATCCAAGTGTCCATCAACAGATGAATGGATAAACAAAATGTGTTAATGTATATTAAAAAGAATATTATTCAGTCATTTACTAGAATGAAGTTTCCTGGGCACAGTGGTACATGCCTGTAATCTCGGCACTCTGGGAGACTGAGGGAAAAGATCACAAATTCAAGCTCAGCCTGGACAACTTCATAGCTTAGCAAGACCTGTCTCAAAACAAAAGTAAAAGGGCTGGGGATGTAGGTCAGTGGAAAGGTCCTTGTTTCAATCCTTGGTACTGCAAAAAAAAAAAAATTGGGGGAGGAGGTGCCGGGGGTTTAGCTCAGTGGTGCTGCCGCCTGCCTCGCAAGCGCAAGGTCCTGAGTTGGATCCCTGGTACCAAAAAAAATTTTTTTTGATAGCTATTACAATATGGATGTATCCTGAAAACATTATACTAATAAAACCCAGACACAAAATGACAAATATTATATAATTCCATGCATATGGGGTATGTATAATTGGCAAATTTGTAAAGATAGTATAGAGGTTAGCAAGGGAGGAAAAAGAAATGGAAAGTTATTCTTTAACGAGTTAATGAAAAATTCATAAAAATGAATAATGTTGCTGCCTACACACACTGTGAATGTTCTTCACACCACTCAATTATATGTTTAAAGATTGGTTAAGGATGTAAAATGGTGAAGTTGCTATGAAAAACAATACAGAATTTCCTAAAAAATAACTTAAAAAGGGCCGGGGATTTAGCTCAATGGTTCTGTTGCCTGCCTTGCAAGCACAAGGACCCGAGTTCGATCCCTGGTACCAAAAAAACCCCCCCAAAAACTAAAAGGAGAATTACCATATGATCCAGCAATCCCACTTCTTAGTATGTATCCACAATAATTGAAAGCAAGATCATAAGGTTTTATTTGCACAGCAGTGTTCATTATGAGGTAGAAAAAAATCTAAGTGTCCACTGAACTGAGTGGATAAAGAAAATGTGGTGTATACGTACAGTGGAATATTATTTGTTCATAAAAAATAATGTGTTATACCATGGATGAAATGAGGACATTATCTAAATGAAATAAGCCAATCACAAAAGAGGAATACTATATGATCCATCTTCTATGAGGTATCAAAAGTCATCAAGCTCATAGAATCAGAAAAGTAGAGAGATGTAATTACCAGGGGCTGGAGAATGGGGGAAATAGAGTTTTTCAGTGCACATAGAATGTTAGTTTTGCAGGATGAAAAATTTCTAGAGATCTTTTGCACAACAATGTACATACAGTTTATACCATTGTTCTGTACACTTAAAAGTGGTTAAATGGTACAGTATTTATTTATTCATTCATTTATTTATTTCAGTGCTGAGAATCAAACCCAGGGTCTTGTGTAGGCTAGGCAAGTGCTCTACCACTGAGCTACGTGCTCAGCCCTAGGATGGTAAATTTGATGGCACGTGGTCTTTTATTCTGCAATAAACAAAATGGTTAAAGTGTAATTTCATGGCATGTACATTTTATCACAATAAAAAAAAAACTACTGAAAATGTTAGTGTAACCTGTGAGCAACCATGCTACCTAACATTAGGACAGTTACTTTTCTCATTTGTATGTATTTGTGTTTGTCACTGGCACAACTTAACCATCTACTGTATCACTTCTTTTGTGGTGATCTTTAAAAGACTTAGTTTACAATAACTTTTCTTTTCTTTCTTTTTTTTTTTTTTTTTTTGGTACTGGGGATCGAACTCAGGACCTTGTGCTTTGAGGCAGGCGGCGGAACCACTGAGCTAAATCCCCAGTCCCTACAATAACTTTTGACCCTTGCAATGTGAAGTCACATCCCCAAGAACAATAGCTAATCAGTGCACTATTTAATTCCCCTCTATCTTTAAAAACATCTACCCCCATGAGATGACCTCTCCATATCCCAAACTAAACAATTATTATTTCTGATACAGGTCTTCCTTAAAATGAAGAATTTACACAGAGCATCTTATAATATGACTTTGTGAGATCACATATGTACCATTACTCCCTCCTTATATTATGAATTTTTCTTTTACTATAAATTTCCCCCAAAGTAGGGAAGTAATAGAGGGTTCTTATGTTTATTCTCTTTTCTCAAAGACTTGCTAAATGATTATTATTCCAAGCTTTTAAAAAAAAAATCTCACTTTCCTTCAGCGTTCTGTGAATCTGCAGAAGCAGAAAGAATGGAACTGAAAAATTGAAAAGCAAATTAGAACTCTTTTGTAAAGGTAGTTTTTTTGGTACTGGGAATTGGAATTGAAACCAGGGTCTTTGGATTGAACAGCATCCCAATCTCCCATCAATTAAAAATTTGTTTTTGTTTTTGTTTTTTGTTTTCAGACAGGGTCTCAGTAAGTTACTAAGTTGCCCAGGCTGGGCTGGAACTTGAGATCCTCCTGCTTCAGCCTCCCAGAGTGCTAAGATTGCAGACATGTGACACTACACTCAGATCAAAAGATAATTTTTTTAAGTTGTGAGAATAACCTTGAACAAGGAATTCCTTCTGATTTACCATTGTATCCCTCATTACACTAAACCTCAGAGCTTTGTATTGTGATCACTAAATAAATGCTTCATAAATTGAATCAAAACAAACTGATTTCTCATTCAGAGGAAAAGGGATCTATGGAAAGCTGGGGAAGCCTGGTGTGGTGGTGCATGCCTGTAATCCCAGCACTTGGGAGGCTGAGGCAGGAGGATTGCCACGAGTTGCAGGCTATCCTGGACTACATAATGAGTTCAAGGCCAGCTTGAGCTACATAGTGAGACCCTGTCTCAAAAAAAAAAAAAAAAAAGATTTATACGAGGAGTAGAAAGTTGGAGGTCCATAAGTAGCATGACCAACAACTCATTCTGGTTTTTCTAGAAGTTTTTAGTTTTATGACTGAAAATTCCATGTCCTGGAAACTCCTCAGTTCTAAGCAAATCTGACATTTGGCAACCCTCTGACCATAAGTCAAACCTGGCATAGACATATATTTTGAGTAGTCTGAAGAGT